AGTAGCTGGGACTACAGGCACCTGCCACAATGCCCAGCTATTTTTTGTTGCAGTTGTCATTGTTGTTTAGCTGGCCTGGGCCGGGTTTGAACCAGTCAGCTTTGGTGTATGTGGCTGGCACTATAACCACTGTGCTGCGGGCACCAAGCCTTTAATTAATTTTATTAATTAAATAGTTTTTGAGCATCAAAAATTACACAGATCATTCCTGCTTGATGCATTCCCACATATCTTCCCTGAAGCAGGCACTTGGCTAGAAAAAGTGCAAAATACAGGGGAATAAAATATGAATTGATTTTCCAACGTATACTCCATCCACACAGGTAAAGGTTTTGGCTAGAGTCAGTTATCAGGTGAGATCATCATTGCGCTGATTTCAAAGGACTCTCTTTTTTTCTTCTCATTGTACTGCAGCCAAGCTTTCTTGGCAAGCCCAGGGGAAGCCAAAGGACCCGCCTCATGGAGGGATGCTGGGTGATGGAGACAGCCAATGGCTCCAAGGATGGCTTGGATTTCAACTCCATGAAGGATTACATGATCCTGAGCGGTCCCCAACAGATAGCTATTGCGGTGCTGTGCACTCTTCTGGGCCTGCTAAGCGCTCTGGAGAACCTAGCTGTGCTCTATCTGATCCTGACCTCCCAACGGCTCCGCAAGAGGCCCTCATATCTGTTCATCAGCAGCTTGGCTGGAGCTGACTTCTTGGCCAGCGTGATCTTTGCGTGCAACTTTGTCAATTTCCACGTTTTCCATGGTGTAGATTCCAAGGCTATTTTCCTATTGAAGCTTGGCAGTGTGACCATGACCTTCACGGCCTCTGTGGGCAGCATACTGATGACCGCCATCGACCGATACCTCTGTCTACACTACCCACCTGCATACAAAGCCCTCCTCACCCGTGAGAGGGCACTGGTGACCCTGGGCATTGTGTGGGTCCTCTCGGCACTGGTTTCCTACCTGCCCCTCATGGGATGGACTTGCTGTCCCAGGCCCTGCTCTGAGCTTTTCCCACTGATCTCCAATGACTACCTGTTGGGCTGGCTCCTGTTCATTGCCTTCCTCTTCTCTGGCATCATCTATACCTATGGGCATGTCCTCTGGAAGGCTCATCAGCATGTAGCCAGCTTGGCCGAGCACCAGGACAGGCAGGTACCAGGAATGGCCCGAATGAGGCTGGATGTGAGATTGGCCAAGACCCTGGGGCTGGTGCTAGCTGTGCACCTCATGTGCTGGCTCCCAGTACTGGCACTCATAGTCCACAGCCTGGCCACCACGCTCAGCAACCAGGTCAAGAAGGTCTTTGCCTTCTGCTCCATGCTGTGCCTTGTCAATTTCATGGTCAACCCTGTCATCTATGCCCTTCGGAGTTGGGAGATCCGCTCCTCTGCCCATCATTGCCTGGTCCGCTGGAAGAAGTGCTTCAGGGGCATTGGGCCTGAGGGCAAAAAAGAAACCCCAAGGTCCTCAGTCACTGAGACAGAGGCTGATGTGAAAATCACCCCATGGGCAGATTCCAAAGACCCCTAATGCTGAGTGCTACTGAGGGTTCTCTCCCAATTTTAAACAACTTGAGTCAGAAGTCTTTTCACTCCCTGGTTAAGGGGGGGTTACAACTTGGGTAGTCATGGATACAGCAATAGAACAATAATTAATACAGCTTCGGTTGACAATGGATACATCTCATATCACGATGGTTATGGTTATACAACAGTAATTAATCAAGTCTCGGTGAGTTTTCCACCATTGTTCACCTACTGAGAATTTGGAGGTTTTGTGAAACTTGGGACTTTTCTTCCTTGTACCTGGCAACCCTAGCGGGAAGAAGGGGGCCTGGGAACATGGCTGGGAAGCATGTTCTTGGCCACCCTGGGGGGAGGAGGGACTTGCCTTGTTCCTGGAGTTGACTCTGGGGGGAGGAGGGAGGAGGAGGGAAATAGGCCAGAGAGGGGAGATAGGATAACAGGAGTGGGCAGGGGAAAGAGGGCTGGGTTACAACATTTCCCACTCCTCTTCTTGGCAAATTAAACCTTTAATTGAAGATGATGGTCTTCTCTTTGACTTTATTGGTTAAGTCTGGTCTCCAGGTTGGAGGTTGTGTAGCTGCTACAGTAGAACGTGGTTAATTACTCAAGTAGTTATTTAATTCAGTCTCTCTTGGCTCGGCACCTGTGGCTCAAGCTGCTAAGGCGCCAGCCACATACACCTAAGGTGGCAGGTTCGAATCCCCAGCCTGGGCCCGCCAAACAACAATGATGGCTGCAACCAAAAAATGGCCGGGCGTTGTGGCGGGCGCCTGTAGTCCCAGCTACTTGGGAGGTGGAGGCAGGATACATGCTTGAGCCGGGGAGTTGGAGGTTGCTGTGAGCTGTGATGCCCAGGATAGCTTGAGGTTCTGTCTCAAAAAAAAAAAAAAATTCAGTCTCTCTTAGTTTTTAGGAGTTCCTGTTAGCAGAGGATTGATGAAGTTTTCTTTGAATAATACTGGTGGCAAGGCTTATATTTAATTAAAGTTCGTTTCTTGCTCTTATGATTTTGTTTATACACATTATAAATTTTTAACAGGTGACCTTTGTTGAGGCCAGTTCCTTAGTCTCATTTAATAGATTTAGTACAGACAAGGTTGGGATTTAATATAGGTGAGTTACAGTCTTTTTTTTTTGAATTAATTATTTCTCTTTCTCTTCAATTTCTCTTTTTACTAAAGACAAATTATAGCAGAACTAATTTAGTTGTTAAGATAAACTGTACCTTCAGTATACTGATTATTTGCATAAAGTGCAATAAGAATAATTATTAATTATCTGGACTCTTTTTAAAATTGGCTTTGCTGGAACTTTTTATAAGGAATTTTTAGGTTAGACCTTTTAAAGGCCTCTTATGAGCCCAGATTTTATCTGTGCCATTAGATACCTATATGCATTGGGTAAATTCTTTTTTGAGGTTTCCAAGCATATTTCGACCCCCAGACCTGTCAGGGAGTTACCTTCATTGCTTACTACAGATCAGGAAATGTTATTCATGGATATCTGGCTAGTTTTCCAGAGGGCTTTTTATTGGCTTTATAAAGTCAACCTTAATTCCTTAACACAGTCCAGAAATGCTATTCTAGCCAAAGCCTTGGTAAAATAACCAGTGTCTTTATTATGTTTTATAGAACAAAACAGATTCTTACTGAACTTATGCAAATAACTGTATTGTTAGAAATTAAGAATATTTATCAATGGCTTGTAGAGTTGGAGAAATTAAGGAGAGAGAAAAAATATGTTTTAAACTCTGCTTATAAGCATATACATTGCTTGAAATGTTACAAATAGCTCAAAAGACAGAAAATCGTTTTCTTGACCTTTGGAAAACAGAACACAGACAGAATTAACAATATTTTAAACAAAAAGCTATAATAAACTAGCTCAGTTCCACGTAACTGATTTCTGTTCTGTTTGAAACTAGATTAGTAATACTTATAGACATGTTAACTTTTCAATGAAAGTTTTAGAAATCCAAAGGTACTTAATTTTTAAAAACATTAGGAATTTGAATTTGAGAGACTTCTTCAGCTTTTTAAAATATTTTTCTTTTTTAGAATGAACTTTGAACTTAGTTACATAAAAAACACTTTCCTTTTAGACGAATTAAAATTATTACTGACAGTACATGTTAGGACAGACTAATGTTTTATAATGTCAGAATATATATATGTATATATATATATATAAAACCATAATTTACACAAAATTAATTACTATTTCACATCGGACAATGCTTCTTATACACTTCTAACAAATTAAATAAGTCTAATTTTTTTTTTTTTTTT